TTCAAAGACTGCTGTAGCAGAAGTATGGATTTGGCCACAGTCAGCCCATGGGGCTTTGAGAAACTGGGTCCATTAAACCTCAGGTAAAGAGGTTTGGGCCTTAAGCTAAAACATCATGGCTACAGTGGTTGCAAGAAATAAGATTTCATTATTTTTTTAAAATATATTTTTATTGATTTCAGAGAGGAAAGAAGAGGGAGAAATAGAAACATCAATGATGAGAGAGAACCACTGATCGGCTACCTCCTGTCCACCCTCTACTAGGGATCAAGCCCACAACCTGAGCATGTGCCCTGACCAGGAATCGAAGAGTGACCTCCTCCTGGTCCATAGGTCAACCATCAACCATTGAGCCACACCAGCTGGGCAAGATTCCATTCTTTAAATGCCAATTCTACTACTCTAAATTTAGCATGTATTGGTAAATATTTCTATATACAGACCTGAAATACAATTTAAAAACAAAACCAGCCGAAACCGGTTTGGCTCAGTGGTAGAGCGTCAGTCTGCAGACTGAAAGGTCCCAGGTTCGATTCCGGTTAGGGGCATGTACATTGGTTGCGGGCACATCCCCGGTGGGAGGTGTGCAGGAGGCAGCTGGTCGATGTTTCTCATCAACGTTTCTAGCTCTCTATCTCCCTCCCTTCCTCTCTGTAAAAAATCAATATTTATAAAAAATAAAAATAAAAACAAAACCAATATGATTTTCATTGTAACCAAGGCTGATATCCATTTAACTCAGGGATAGTAAAAACAGCCTCATAGTTTGATGCATCCAATGTGATGCAGATGTCATTTAAATGTGAATGGCCAGCCTAATTTGTGCATGAGAGCTGTAACAGGTACGGCAGATGGCTGCGGTGAATGCCCCCCAATAAATTACATTTCCCTCTGTGACTTGCACTGGATAGTGGTACCATGCCAAACGAACACAAGCAGAAGCCTTGGCAATCAGGAGGACTCGCCCTCTTTCTGCTGAGAACCCCCCACCATCATGTGACTAATCCCAGGCAAACCTGCTGGGGACACGGGATTTAGCAGCCAGCAGCCAGCTCTTCTCTCCAGCCTGAGGCAACGCCAGACCCATTGGTCCTTCCCCTCCGGCCCACCTGCTGTTGTAGCTGCAGGAACAAGTACAGGCAAGAGCCTACATTTCTGACACAGAATTATGAGTTAATTAATACTGTGATTCTAAGCCATTCAATTTGGGTTGGTTTGTTACCCAGCAAAGGATAATTGAAATGTATCACACACAAAAAAAAAAAAAAATTAAGGAAGGATAACTGCTATAATAAATGGATTCCTAATTGCATGATGACTTACATACAACAGAAGTATATCTACTGCTTATATAAATAGCTAAATATACTGTTGGCATACTTTTGAATTATTTTAACTACAAAATTACTTCTTTTTAAAAAAATTCTTTTAAACATTACTTGTTTTTACATTATCAACATAAAAATTTCTTGCAATTGGATATTTCTTATGTTTACATTTTGTCTCTAACTCTTTGCCTTTACCAATTTGAGAATAGAACTGCCATGTCTTTTACAGCTAAACGTTCTCGAGTATCCTGGGATGGCTACAAGGTAACCTGTGATTTGCCTCTTCACCTTATAAACGGAAGAATAAAAATACCTAAATCTGGCCGGGACCGGTTTGGCTCAATGGATAGAGCGTTGGCTTGGGGACTGAAGGGCCCCGGGTTCGATTCCAGTCAAGGGCATGTACCTTGGTTGCGGGCACATCCCCAGTAGGGGGTGTGCAAGAGGCAGCTGATTGATGACTCTCTCTCATTGATGTTTCTCTCTCTCTCCCCCTTCCTCTCTGTATAAAAATCAATAAAATATATTTTAAAAAATGTATTGTGGATTGGGAATGAGGAAACTTAAAAAAAAAAAACTAAATTTGTTCGGTACTTCATATTTTAAAAAATATATTTTCATTCATTTCAGAGAGGAAGAGAGAGGGAGATAGGAACATCAATGATGAGAATCGTTGATTGACTGCTTCCTGCACGTCCCCTACTGGGGAATGAGCCCGAAACCTGGACATGTGCTCTGACTGGGAATCCAATGGTGGCCTCCTGGTTCATCGGTAGATGCTCAATCACTGAGCCACATCAGCTAGGCAGGTATTTCAAATTTCAACTAACTTTCTCACGTCATTACTCTTTGGTGCCCCCTAGCTTCCACCTAATGGTCTCACAGACTGCCTTTACCTCTTCTCACTGGAATATCTCACTCGCTCATCTCTGATGGAAACAAAGGCAAAGCTCTCTTCTGTTTGTCCCAGTCCACTGCTACTGCTCTAGATCTGACTGCTGCATCCTTTCATCCTGTCTTACCCCCTAACAAAAACTTAACAGCTGTCACTTTATATGCCTCCAAAGGTAGGTCCCTTCTGTTATTTGCATTTTCTTCACATCTGAACCTAACGTCAACGAAATACTTCTGCTGAAATTATTACAGTACAGACATTTCAAGCTCACTAGGAAGGGGGACAAATCCTGAGACTATCTCTGTGGCAACGACCAGTCTGTCCTCTTTGGAGACTCTTTACCTTCATTTGGAGAATCTGCCTGCCTCAAAGGACAGATGGCTGACTCATGTCTAATGTGGTAAATGTTATTTACACTCCTAATATAGTCTACCCCCATCCTTGTTTTCAACCAATGTTGCTTTATTTTTTTTTTCAACAAATATCATGATTTGTGGGATATGGCTAAAGCAGGGCCTAGAGGAAAACCTACAGCATTCTGTACAAACCCTTTCAGAAAAGACGAACACTTCCCAACCGTTTAATGAGCCCTCCATTACCATGACACCAAAACCGACAATACTGCAAGAAAACTATAGACCAACAGCCCTCATGAATACAGATGGGGAGTGAGGGGTACTCTAACTAAATAGTAACAAATTGAATCCAAAAGTACTTTTAAAAATTGGCTTAACACTAAAAAAAGAAAAGGAAATTCATCATATCAGCAGATAAAAGAGGAAAAACCATATGATTATTTCAGTAAATAAGCATTTAACAAAATTCAACATTTATTCATAAGTCCTCTAAGGAAGCAGGAATAGAAGACAATCCCTCAGTTTTGTAAGGACACTTACAAAAATACCCTGCAGTTAAATAAATGTAACAGTAAAAGACTGAATGTGTTCCCTTTATGTTCTCAACTTTTAGCACTTCCATTCAGATCAGTCTGGAGATCTAGCCAGTGTACTAAGGGGGAAGGAAAGAGGAACCAAGGAAGGGAGAGAGAGGAGGGAAGGGAGGAGAAGAGAGAAAAAGAGAAGGGGGAAGAAAAAAAAGAAGGAAGAAGTTGACAGGAGCTAAAAATAAAAAAAAAAAAGGGAAAAGAAACAGAAAATAAAAGACCAATTACAAAGTAATGATCTATTTATAGACACTATGACTGTCTATGCAGAAAATTTCAAAAGCATCTACAAAAAAGCTACTAGAATAAGTGAGTTAAAGAAGATAATAGGATACAAAGTCAATGTACAAAATTCAATTGTTTTTATGTACTAGCAGTAAACATCTGGAAATTAAAAATTTAAGGACAGCATCATTTACAATAACACTATAAACCATGCAATAATTAGATTTAAATTTATCAAGATCCGTATGCTGAAAACTATTTAAAAATACTGAAGACTGTTTAAAAAACCGAAATGAATGGTGATATTAATGTGCTCAATGGCTGGAAGAGTTCATATTGTGATCTATAGATTCAATGCAATCTCAAAGTACCAGCAGGAGTTTTTATAGTAATTGACAGATTGGTTCTAAACTTCACATGAAGGACCAAAGGAACTAGAAAAACAAACATTTTGAAAAGAAAAGAAAAAAAAAGAAAATTGGAATACCTACATTCCCTAATTTCAAGATTACTGCAAAACACAAAGATATAATAACTAAGACAATGCAGCATTGGGGAAGGGCAGAAATAGGCAAATCAGTTTGGCAGTACCTTACAAAGGTAAAAAAATATTTACCATACCACTCAGTAATTCCACTCCTAGGCATTTATTCAAGAAAGATGAAATCACATGTTCACATAAGGTTTATATAAAAATGTTATAAACACTTTATTCATAATAGCCCCAAATTAGAAAAGGCCCAGGTGTCCACCAATTGAATAGTTAACAAACTGTGGTATATTCATACAATGGACTACTACTCAGCAATAAAAAAGAACTGACTCAAGCAACAACACTGATACGTAGCAGAGACGATGCACAAAACAAGGGGCATTCTGCATGTTTTCATCCAGTCCACAGCGACACGAAGCAGGTCAGTGCTGCCCAAGGCTGAGGACAGATGGGTAGGTGGGACCCGAGTGGAAAGGGCTGGTGGTAACTTTTGAGGGTGATGGTAATACAAAGGTTCCCTATTTCAGTTATGACGACAGCTGCTCAGGTGTCCAAACTCATCAGACTGTACCCTTCCAATGGATGTTTTTGTTGTATGTAAATTAGAACTTAGCCGAGTTGATTTTTAAAAAAATATATTTTATTGATTTTGTACAGAGAAGAAGGGAGAGAGTTAGAAACATCGATGAGAGAGTCATTGATCAGCTGTCTCTTGCACTCCCCCTACTGGGGATATGCCCGCAACCAAGGTACATGCCCTTGACCGGAATCGAACCTGGGACCCTTCAGTCCCCAAGCCCAAGCTCTAGCCATTGAGCCACACCGGTTTCGGCTTAGCCGAGTTGAGTTTTAAAAGCTGTGGGGAAAAAATGGGTTAGAAATATAACACCGTTCTTGTTGAGGAAACAAGCCTCTAAAAATGAAAGAGTTCCCACATCTGTGTCTGGCTGTCTGCACCGCACTCCCTGTTTGCAGCACTCTCACCAGTTTTCATCTGCTTCAGCAGCACTCACACTTACCAGTCAGATGAAGAATTTTCCAGGGACTTGACTTCTCTTACCCCTTGACAGGTCTGACACAGATGCTTATTCAGGATGTAGGTTTTGCACACCCACACTAGTCATATATTTCATATGCCATACCCATTATCAACTTTTGCCTGGAGTTATCATTTTCCCCAGGAGCTGGCCCATGTTTCCTGGTCCTCCTCTTGCCAACCTGACCCAGCCATCCCAACAGCAGCATCCCCCAGACAGCAATATTCACCCTTCCCGTCTTGCTACTTCCATAGACTCTGCTCCCAACAACAGCTTTCTTCTGGTGTGAATGTCTGAGGACACTGGTAGGATGGAGAGATATGGGAGAGATGAGAGATATGGGATAGATGGAGGAGAGGAAGCACAGCCCTACTCCAACGGGCATCTGTGGGTAGGAGGGGGCAGGGATGCCAGGAAAGGTCAACGTCAGCCAACCTAGACATTCAACTAGCTCAGTGTACTTACCCGCACTTACCGCCTCCTCTAACAGCACTGGCAACAACTGTGTCTAATACCTCCTGAACCCTAACACACGCACGCACACGCACACCTCTGCTTCCTCACACTTGCCCAGTATTCCTGACTGGCTTCTCAAGGCTCTGCCTTCCATTTAAGATCCAATCCTTGGTGTCAGAATTGGTGTTCTTTATCTCAGGTTCTCCAGCAGATACTTCTGGCATAATCAGCTTTTCCCAGAAAGAGATCTTGTCCTTAACACACTGCAGACGGATCACGAGAATTCTCGTGTTTTCTGTTGTAAGGCTTGTGGCCAATCCTACTTTAAAAAGGTATTAGCTTGTAAGAACATGTAATAAATAATTTCAAAAGCAAGCCTTTAACATTTATGTAAAACGGTTTTGTACTCGTTCAATAGCAACTTATCTGGCCACTGAGTAAGGCTAGCAATAAAACTATGGGTCCACAGTGTATTAAGATGTGATAAAAGTACAACTGGGAGTTGTCCTGGTATTGTCTTTCATGCCTTACACTAAATGACCACCAAAATGAGTTGTTTCTACAGCACTCTTACTGCTAGTCTCCTCCTTTTCTTCCTGATTTGTCTTTTTCCTGTTTAAAATCCTTCAAGTATAGTTTGGCACATACATCCCTTCAGGATTTGTCATCTGCTTAATTATCTAGATATAGCAACCCAAGACTGTCATGTTTGGCTGAGGCATGCTTTCTGCCTTGGGAATACCCTTCCCAAACTTCCCACCCCACACGTCCTTTTTTCTGTATCTCCTAGAGCAGTGGTGGGTAAACTGTGGCTCTTTGGCCTCTTGAGTATAGCTCTTCCACAAAATACCACGTGCGGGCGTGCATATACAGTACGATTGAAACTTTGTGGCCCATGCGCAGAAGTCGGGTTTTCGGCTCTCAAAAGAAATTTCATTCGTTATACTGTTGATACTTGGTTCTGTTGACTTTGAGTTTGCCGACCACTGTCCTACAGCTAGGATCTGTTTGCGCATAAAGACTTGGTTTAATCATGACTCTCCTTACTACCTGCACAACACGCTGTGGATCTGGCAATCACAGCATTTATTATTCTTTATTATGTTACCCTGGTTCACTTCACCCAATAAAGATTAGTTCCTAGAGGTCAGCTATCTTTGATTTCAATATTATTGGTCCCCAACAGTCCATAGAACCAAGTAGTGCTGCAAATATAATTGCCAAAATAGGAAATCTCTAGATTTTAGCAAGAGGAAAGATCAGAACTCACAATGTCCTCTATTATAGTTACGTTTCTTAAACACATTAGCTTAGGTCTAAGGCATTACTCCTACACCTTATGACTGGAGAGACTAACAAAAATATTTATTCATAGTTCATAATAACCACTGAACATTATTAGATGCTCTCGTGTCTGGTGCATTTAATCCTCACAACTTTTGAGGTAGGCAGCAGTATTTACCTTTTCTCTAGGCAGAGGTGAGGCACGGAGAAGGTAAACTAGGCAGTCTGGTTCCAGTAGAATCCATTCCCTTAACCACTTAACCACTACGCTACAAACAATACTTCTTTCATCCTGAAAACTGTGCTGCAAATACAAAATTTACAAATAGGTTTTACATTAGAAATTTCCAAGTATATCTCCACACATGGTTAAGAAAGAGCTTTTCTCCACTACCACTACAAACAGCCATTTTTTACATTACCACAAAATTTTAACCAATACTTTTGGATCCAATTTGTGATAATGATTATACAAAAGCAGATAAACTGTAACATTAGTTAATTCATGGTAACCTTTCAGCATTCAGATAACTCTTTTTTACTGTTATGTACTGTAAACTTGTAGACATAAAAGTGGGAATGACAGATTTTCTTGAAAGCATTATTCTAAATTACAGGATACTTTGGCAAGATTATTTGGAAGCTTTATTTAAAATATCAATTAGGAATTGTTCCATTTTAATTAAGAACTAGATATCAAAGAAACAAGTTACTCTGTGTCTAAGACTTAGGTCCTGACAGGTGCTCCACAGTCCAGGGCAGAGCTAAGCAGTACAATACTACTTCCAAAAATTTCATTTATTGCTGGGGTGTACGTTCATACCATGCTGCTCTTTGCCTCTCTATAAATAAGCAACCAACAGTCTACCTTATTATTAGCCGCTGGTCTAAAACTAATGATGGCTTCAATACCTGAAAATGTACTGACTCCGTAAAGAAAGTAACGCTGTATTTTCATCAACATCAACACATCTGGTTTTCTTCAATGCCTTTACTTTCCACAGTAAAGTAATGTGGAAAGTAAACTCGCCTGACATAAAAGACCAGGTATTCCCCATTCAATGCAGGAATTCTGTGTTTAAAAAGAACATTCAATTCCCTATCTTAAGCACAGCATTCAAAGAATATGATAGGCACTCCAAGTGTCCTCTGGCTAAATCATTAGGAAAGTTGCACCAGCTGTTCCTGAGTAAAACTCACCACTGGAGCACAACAAGCAGACACTTCCTCTGTAGAAAGCCAAGTGGCAACTTAGTTTCTGAATGGAAAGATCCCAGTAGAGATGAAAAGTTCCCAGAAAAAAGATAACTGAACTATTGTTATTCACAATACAGCAAAGAAAACATCAGAAGTTACATATGGGGGGGGGGGGGGGGGGAAGGTAGGGAATGGGCCAAACACAAAATATTGGCATCCAGAGTTTTTAACTTAGAAAATATCTGTACAAGAACAAGGGACATATCACATTTAACCACCATTGCCAATACGTACTGAACTCACCTCAGAATAAATCAAACTGCAAGAAAATGGCCCAAATGAACTAGAAGACTTCCTGCAACACACAGTACTATATTTACTAAGCAGCATTTACCTCTATGCGGTTTTATAAAGTTCCCAATAACCGAATTTATATGGACACTTCCTCTGCAAAGAGTAAGATGATTTCGTTATTATTATCAATGCATAATGTGGATGTCAATTAGATATTAATTCAATTATTCATGAGTTTTTAATTAAAGAATCTCATGCTTTGTTCAAATGTAGCTTACTGTTAGGAAATTTCCCTTCTTCCACTCTCCAAGTCAGTAAAAAAAATTAAGTAATATTTACAATGAATTTTCAATCTGTTTCATTTAAAGTAAGACCCATATGTCTTGTTATAATTATGTTAATTTAAATGATTGCTCTTACAGGTTACTAGACCCAACTTTAGAAAGTAAAGTAAGCTTTGAAATAGAATCTGCCATTTTTATTAACTGAAATACATATTGCAAATATGCTGAGGGTGCCCCTCAGGCATTTGGGCTACGTATTCCACTAATTTAGTGGGTGAAAACTGAAATAATTATTTAGCCTATAAAAGAAATAGAAAACATATATAGTAAATAACAGATAACAGCATGTTTTTAAATGTTTCAGCTACTACAGAAAAATCAGTTATAGAAACCATTATTTGTATTTCAATCATAAGCACTGCTCTTAAAACACAATCTATATCCGATTTATAACCACCTCTGAAAAACACAGGTTAATGTGCTTGCTTAGTCTTTTTCTCTGGCAAAGAGCCAAAAGTCAGACAATAATTCTGCTCTCTTACACATCCTGAGGGGGGGAAAAAAGTCAGATCTCAGTAAGACAGAGTCAAAACTGGCAGTTAAATCCATTATGAAGAAGGTGCCAGTGAAGAGAAATTTCAGAACATACTGCTTCCTATATTTGCAAGTGTGATCTTACTTGAAAAGAAGTATTTACAAAGATTCTAGAAAGCTATCACCAACTTGACAACCGAGGTTTTCAGTCTTTGTCTCCATAATATTCAGCTGCCAGTACTTGGAGCTACACATTTAAATAACTAATGTCATTTTATGTCCTACTTACACTATTCCGTGTCTGCATACAGGTTATAAATATTATGTGGCATTATGTAGAATATTACTTATAACATCTTCCAGAAGAGCAACACTGAATAAAAACCAGAGCATTGGGGGCTTGAAAAGCATTTTCTTTTCAATTTCTCAGTTCTTTTTAGGAAGTTATTGATGGAGACTGAATTTAAAGTAAATTTTTTTTTTTACTTTTTTAAGTTTTAATTAAAAAAGGACTGCTATAAACAAGTTAATAACGTTCCAGACAAACGCAGTGACAAGTCGCGCTTGACACTAACAGACGCGGAGCAGCTGCAGCACAGACCTCACAGAGAAAGGCGGAGACGCGGCCCAGAATCAGCGCAGAGGGGAACCGAGCGGAACCTAGGCCGACACACTCTAAAAGTCAGCGAGCAGATCCCATCAGAAAATCAGCTTCCAGAAGAGCTCTAGCAGTGAGCCACCACTCTGCTACAGTAAATCCTTTCCTCCCAGAATGGAAGAAAACAACGTAACATTATACCAGAGGTAGAAAAAAATGAAGTCACATTATAAGAGGTTTTTCCTGTGGTATGTGTGTGTGAAAGCTTACAAAATTGAAAATGTGGAATAGATTCATATTAAGATTTCGTGATAACAGAAAAAATTTAAGAATATTTCCCTTGAGGGAAAAATATTTTCCAAAACTGATTCAGAAAGCACCTATGAAACTGTGCTGTCAGCTGTCACACTGGAGGTTTGGGCTTCTTTTATCAAGTACAGCATAACAAAGGCATTTCACAGCATAACTTTAGTTATCTGGTGCAAAATCACACAGAAAGCAATAAAAACTCTTTTAATTGTTTATAACACACAAATTTTGCTGGGTAGCAGCAGTTGCTCCTGTACATGCCCTTTAACAAAAACAAAACGCACGCACGCACGCACGCGCGAGAAAGAAACAGAAGCAATAGAGAGGAAAAAAGAGAATAAAGAATAGTAGCATTTGCCGAAACCAGTTTGGCTCAGTGGTAGAGCGTTGGCCTGTGGACTAAAAGGTCCCAGGTTCGATTCCGGTCAAGGGCATGTACATTGGTTGCGGGCGCATCCCCAGTGGGGGCTGTGCAAGAGGCAGCTGGTCGATGTTTCTCTCTCATCGACATTTCTAGCTCTCTATCTCTCTCCCTTCCTCTCTGTAAAAAAATCAATAAAATTAAAAAAAAAAATTAAGAATAGTAGCATTAAATAGAAAAAACAAATACTTAAATAGATGAAAGAAGGTTTAAGACAAGAAAATGTTTCTGTGCAACTTTCACTTATGCCGAGAGAAGTACACTGCTTAAATGCTCACTGATAACATTTCCCTAGGTTGAAAATAGCAATCTACTTATTGGGATTTCTGATTTCAAACACAAAAAAAGGAAAAATAGGACATTTCCGTATTGCAGCCCTAATAACTCTCTCCCAGTATTTTTTAACCATTCAGATGTATTTTGTGGGAATATTTATTCACATAATTTTGTTTAACACATTTTTTTCTACACAAAACTGAATTTAAATGTTCTATAATATTTTCAATTACAGCAACAACACACTAATAAATTATAAATTAACAAAATCTTCATATTTGCTTTAAAAATCATTTATCAAACACTAACTTCTAGATTATCTGGAAAATTAAAGATGCAAACTGCTATAAATCTGACATCCTAATTGATTTCTGATTTTTAAAAGTATATAAAAGTCCCTCAAATTATTCCAAGTTCCACTCAAGAAAATTTTATTTTACTCTTTTCATAAGTTATGAAGTTTACAACCTGCTAAAACATTTTACCCAAATGTGGAAAAACTGCCTGGAGATGCAAAGCACAATTAAATAATTACATGAAAAGAACAAATGAAAATACCCGTTAAAACAACATTACTGCAGCTGGCAGCACTTAAAACTGATAATTTGTATTTTTTTTTAATTGCATAGCTGCAAGATGATTCATTGCTGATTGGCTGTCGAGCAGTTTTATTTAAGAGGAGAGAATATACTTAAGAAATTACAATTCAGTAGACAATCCAATATTTAATTCATTAAAATGTAATTATGTAACCTGATTTACTCTTGGACTGCATCCTGTTAACATTAAACTTTTAATTTAAAATGTTTGAGTATTTTAGCTTTCCTATGTAGAAGTCTATTTTCCACTTTTTTTTGGGGAAATATTAGAACTTTAGATCATGGTCTACATTCAGAGAATGTTTCACTGCTTGATTACATTTCTTGGTTTCACATTTAAGACTTTAATTTATAGGAAGAAAAATATGTGGTCTTCAACTTAAAAATAGATGAATGCAGAAATATCATGTTGGAGAAAATAAAAAGACCCCCAAACTAAAAAAAACACAACAAATCAAAACACTAGTTGCGCGGCTCTAGAGAACTTAATAAAAAGTAAATCAACTTTTAAATCAGTTAACTTTGGCGTCTGCATACAAAATGTTTATCAGCATTACCGATGTAGATGACTAGTAAGGGATGTGCAGCATTTTCAAAATCCCTGTGAGTCCTTGTGTCATGTTTGGTGCACTGAGTTCTGTGGCAAATGTCCTCCCTCCAGCAGGGTTTTTCCCTATATGATTGTCCACCTCTGCATCAACTGAGTCGCACAGAACTCAGATTTTTGGCTGAGTATGCCTGCATTTTTTGTTTTTCCAGAGACAGATCCCCATTTCCTCTTGTTTTTTTTAAGCATCTTGAGAAGAGAAGAAAACCTGTGTAAAAGTAGATACATTTTGATTTAAGCAAAGGTCCACACTAGAAATACAATCAAAACAAACATCACACTAGTAATACAAATCAAAACAAACATTCATGAACATTGCTTCAGTTACCGTAAATTTTCACACACTTACTATTCTAAAAACTCATAAAGGTAGTGTTCTTCAAAAGAACAGATCAAGAACCAATTAATGCTTAAAATATCATAAAAAATCACCATCACATAGTACTTTCTCTCTACAATAAAGACTATGTCAACACTTCAACTTTGTCATCATTCTACTTGTTATGGTGATCTGTGACGTTACTAACGTCACTGTTTTGGAGACCACACGCCATGCCCACATAAGACAAACTTAATGCTGAGTGTGTTCTGACTGCTCCAGCAACTGCCCGGTCCCCAGTCTCTCTCCTTCTCCTTGGGCCTCCCTATTCCCCGAGACACAACAATATTGAACAATGGATAATTACTAACCCTACAATGACCTCTAAGTGCTCATGTGGAAGGAAGAGTCCCACATCTCTCACTTTAAATCAGAAGCTAGAAAGGAGTAAGCGTAGTAAGAAAGGCAGGTTGAAAAATAAGATAGGCTGAAAGCTAGGCTCTTGTACCAGTTAGCCAAATTATGAATACAAAAGATAAGCTTTTCTTTTTCTTTTTAATTATTGATTTCAGAGAGGAAGGAAGAGGGTGACGTAGATAGAAACATCAATGATGAGAGAATCACTAATCAGTTACCTCCTACATGCCCCCCACTGGAGATCAAGCCATGAACTCCTGGTTCATAGGTTGCTCAACCAATTAGCCATGCTGGCCGGGGCCAAAGGATAAGTTCTTAAAAGAAGATAAAAGTGTTACTGCACTGAATGCACGAATAAGAAAGCAAAACAGCCTTATTGCTGATATGGGCAAAGCTCTACTGGTCTAGAGAAGATCAAACGAGCCACATGCCTCCATGCCAAAGCCTAATCCAAAGCAAAGCCCCAACTCTCTTCAATTCTATGGAGGCTGATAGGTGAAGAGACAGAAGAAAAGTGTGAAGCTGGCAGAGGTTGGTTCATGAGGTTTAAGGAAAGAAGCCATCTCCATAACATAAAAGTACAAGGTGAAACAGCAAGTGATGATTTAGAAGCTGCAGCAAGTTATTCAGAAGGTCTAGCCAAGGTAATGAAGATGGCTACATTCCACCACACACTTGCATGGAGACAAAACAGCCTTACAGATGTCATCTAGGACTTTCATGGCCAGAGAAAAGTCAGTGCCTGGTTTTGAAGCTTCAAATGACAGGCTGACTCTCTTGCGAGGGACTAATACAATTAGGTTGAAGCCAATGCTCATTACCAACCTGAAAGTCCTGGGGTCTTTAAAAATGCTCAACCTACTCTGCTACATAAACAGAAAAACAAAACCTGGAGAACAGCATGTAAACCATGGCTTACAGCATGGCTACTGAATATTTTAAGCCTACTGCTGAGACGTACTGCTCAGAAAAAAATTCTTTCAAAATAGTACTGCTCAGTGACAATGTACCTGGTCACCCAAGAGCTCTGATGGAGATGTACAATGAGATGATTGCTGTTTTCATGCCTAACAGAGCATCCATTCTGCAGCCCAGGAAATCAAGCACTAATTTTGACTTTCAAGTCTTATTCAAGAAATACATTTTGCAAAGCTGTATTTGCCAGACAGTCATTCCTTTGAAAACCCTTTGGAAGGATTTGGTATTACAGATGCCATTGGAAACATTAGTGCTTCATGGGAAGAAGGCAAACCATCAACACTACAGGGCTTAGGAAGCTGATTCCAACCCTCTTAGGTGACTTTGAGGGCTCTGGACTTCAGTGGAGGAAGTAGCTGCAGATGCAGTGGAAACAGCAAGAGAACCAGGATTAGAAGTGGAGCCCGAAGGTGGGACTGACTTGTGGCAATTTCATGAAATGCCTGAAAGATGAGGAGTAGTTTGGATAAGCCAAGAAAATGGTTGGTAATGTATAATACAGATAACACTTCAAAAGGCAATTAAAACAAAAAGTGAGAATTACCTATAAAACAGGAAGCTGATGCTTAATCTGAAGGGTGCTCAGGGCAAGATCTATTTACTTCAAACCATTCATCTATGCAGCTAGAAAAGAATAAAACCAGAAAAGGTGAAACACTTATGCTTAATTATTAATGTCATGATAGCCATAATAAAAATGCTTACCTCTTTGCAAAAGGAAAATGAGATACTTTTAAGTTATCATATTTGGCATATACATATAAGTAAAAGATAAAAATGTGTTTATTACATTTTGCTTATTCTAAGCAGTTAAAGAAATAATCTCTGTAAAATTATGCTATAAAATACTTTAAAATTTAAGCAACAATCATTATAAAAAGAATCAAAAGAACTACCACTTTACCAATATTCAAAATCAAAGGACAAATCTGAAAAAAGCTGTTTCTCTTCAAAAGTTATTCATTTATATAAATATCAACCTATCAGAGTAATCAAAAACTGCTTTTAAATCTTGACAATACTGCATCACATTTTAAAAGACCATATTTATATGTGAATATTAAATACTTATTTTAACTCTATTCTATCCTGTAATACATATAACATAATAAGTATATCATCATCCAACTTGCATTTATGAAGTGTTTTATGACTTTGTTGGGAAGTTAAATATTAGGGTGCACACCATTATCCTGTCAATCTGCACTGTTCAGTGCAGTAGCTTCGTACCACATGGGGGTGTTTAGACTTAAATTCATTAAGGAAATGAAGGAAAAGTGCAGTTCCTTAGTCACACCTGCCACACTTCAAGTGCTCAGCAGCCACAGGGCTGGTGGCTCTCTGCTAACAGTACGGATACAGAACACTTCCATCACCACAGAAAGCTCCCTGTGGCAAATGATAAACTTAACTTGCCCAACAGCTAGGAATTTTCCTCAGCAGGTTGCAAACTATTTAGCATTCTCTCCATTGACACATCTTAGGTTTGCACATGCCATAAATCAAGGTGGTTTGGCCCTTGCTGGTTTGGTTTAGTGGATAGAGAGTTGGCCTGGGGTCCCAGGTTCAATTCTGGTCAAGGGCACCTACCTTGGTTGCAGGCACTATCGCCAGCTCTGGTCGAGGCAACCAATCACTATTTCTCTGTCTCTTGCCTTCTCTTTTAAAAAAATGTAAAAATACGTCCTCGGTGAGGATTAACACAGAATACGTGCGCGCGCGCGCGCGCACACACACACACAAACAAAAAAAACCACCACCAAAAAAAAAAACAAAAAAAAAACCCAGCGTGGCTAATACTCTTCTTGTAGTTAATTTAAAATTTTTCCTGTGTTGCTCTAAACCACAAGTACGTTAGAAGAAACCAGGCCGAATCTGGAGCCAAAAAGACATGGGTAGAACCTGGGCTCTTCCATTCACTAGCCAGGTGACCTAGAGGTTTTTACTATGGTCCCTCAGCTTATTTCCTATTGTGAAATGAGACTGATACGAGGCTTACAGGAGAGACCTATTTTAGAAGCTGTGAACAATACCTGGGTCACAGTAAATGCTGGACAAATGATATATTTTTGGGTATAAACAAATATGGGCTAAAATCTTAATTCTAGCAGTAAAAGGGGGCATTATTTGTTAAGAAATGGGGGGAGGGCATTTCAATGAAGAAGAGCCTTTTCGCCCTCAGTACAATGTCTGAGACGCTGAGGGAGATCTTGGCTAACATCGGTGTGAGCACAGAGATAAACTCACCCTTTATGGTAGATGCACAGACAAGGCAGCCGTGCTATCGTGTCCCCCTGCTGCAGGTCTTCCAGGCAGATCGCACATTCCCCAGTGTCTTTACTCAGGACATCCTCTGAGAAAAGAGGAAACAAATGCAGGACAATAAGCAGAAAAAAGCACCACGTGAATGCTAACTGATAAAGAGTGATGACTAGCATGTTTTGTCAGGAATATATAAAACCCAGCACCCGTATTTGAAGTTAAGCGGAAAGAATGCACCAATCTCTACCTAAATGCTGAAGATAGAGTAAGGTAAGGAAGTTTCCAAAAAGTATTTGTACTATAAAAACCAACAAATTTAGTTGTGGCCATAAATGTAATAGTTCCTTGTAGAAAAGTACATTCCATAAGCATTCCCTTTAGTTATTAATTTTGAGACCACAAATTACGAGGAAACACAAACTCCATGTGGCCTATAAAAGAGAAGGTAGCAGCAGATAATTGACCCGAAAGTCTGGAGGAGGTACCAGGACAACTTCTGCAAAAAAAAAAAAAAGGCCTTAGCAGAAGGATTTATGGTTTTGAAATCTAGGGAATACGGCTGAGGTGAGTATTCCCTAGATAACTACTGAGTAGCACACAAGCTAATATGTCACAGCCAGAGTCTTAACTTGAAAAGGATTTCCAGACAAGTAAAGCTCGGTAAATGAAAAATGCTGCTTAAAATGGCCCATTAAGTGCTGTTTTTTTTCTTAACCCTGGAGGTCCCACCCACTACCCTAACTCCACTTCATCCCCAACCCCAAGTCTTGCCTCCTCCTCCTTTTTTAAATTCTGGACAGCTTTCCACAGATAGGGAACCAGTTAAATGTAAAGCACCTACCTAATTAATGATAAAGTTAATTGGTATATGGAGACCCACAAAATAAGGCCACCCTAGTGGCCCCATCCATGTCACAAACCTAACCCAAAATCAGCATGCACTAGGGGAACACCTCACTGCCAAGGGAACCTAATACCAATCAGTCCTCCCACTCAATTTCAGCCAGCTTACCCTACCCTAGAAAGTAGGACCTGGAGCTCCCTGCCAATCATCCCTTTCTTGTCTCTTTGAACACTCTATCAAACCTGCTCCTGCCCAAAACCCCTCAGAAAGTGCTAGTTAGGCAATGCACACCCCCAAACCCTTGGGCTGGTTTCCAATGAATAAAGAACATCAAACTTATTACTAAATTGTTTTAGATTTGACACTAGGATGATGATAGTAAGAACAAAAAGAAAGGGATCTGAAGAAAACACTGAAAGTCTATAATTCCAAATAATCTATAACAATAAAAGCATAATATGCTAATTAAACCTGTCGAATGAAGCCAGGGCTGCGAGGGAAGCCTGGGTCCCGAATGCCAAAGGGAAGCTGGTGCTGACAGCTGAGGAAAGGAAGGCCCACTCTTACACGAATTTTGTGCATTGGGCCTCCAGTATGATACTAGTATATTCTCACCACTTAGATTTGATTTTTTTTTTTTACCATAAAGATATACCACACATCATAAATTTTTTTAAAAAAAAGAATCATCACTTTTTATCAAGCATAAAACATCAATGATTACCTATTAGTTTTACATACCATCAAGTAAGAGGAGAAAATGCCTCCATTAAATTATAATACAAAAAAAAAAAAAAAAAAACCCACAAAAACAACCTATAATACAAATCAATTTTAAGATGCATCTCATTTTTCAAAGTATGAAGAAGTGTGTCTTAAAATTGATGAAATAGGGTATCATGTTTTCTATATTTGGAATACATGAATAATGCATCTAGATTTAAGGCTAAATGAGCCATAGAATCTCAAATGTCATAAATTAAGAAAATGAGATGGACCAGATTTTAATAGAGAAAAAGTATCACATTTTTGCCATAGAAGTCTACGTAACAGAAGTAGAAATCCACTAAGTACAGGCTTCTGAATGCTTTGTTCACAGAAAAATAACTGTCTATGACTGTCAAGTCTCATTTGTTTACTGCAATAGTATTTTTATTAATCTTTGATTTGGGATAACTTTAACATCTTAAAAGGCCTTGGTTTTATCTTGTTTATAAGAACATTTATTTACAGTGCAACAAAGATAAATCTAATCCTATCTAAAAAAGAGGCAATATGCTAATTGACTACCATGCTCTCAAAAATAGCGGTGCCCACAGCCAATAAGGAGGGCATATGCTAATTGACTGCTACAGCCTCAAAGATGGCAGCACCCACAGCCACAAGATGGCAGGACCCAGTTCCCTCAGCCCTGGCAGGCGTGCAGCAAGACCTGCCTCTGGAGTTCCCAAGTCCCTTTATCCTCCCAGCCGCCCAGGGCCGGCCTGAGGCACGGGCAAGCCTCGGATGGCAGCTGCCCAGCTGCCCAGGGCCATCTGAGGCTTGTGCTGCTGGCAGTGGCAACAGTAGAGGTGTGATGGTGGTGTTGCCCCTGATCGCCGGGTCACCTCCTGCCCGAGGGCTCCTGGACAGTGAGAGGAGCCAGGCTGGGCTGAGGGACCCCACCCCCTCCAATGCATAAATAAGTCTGCATATAATATCTATCATAACAATGTATTTTGAAAAATAAGAATGTTATGTTATACTTTGTAGGTATTAAGTTTAAAATTTTTTGTTTAATCTAGAATGCCATATTAAAATCAGTCATGTTAATCATAGGCTTCCTAAATCTTAGTAATGAAAAATTATCAGAACTATATTTTTTATGTTAAGAAAGGCACACCTATATAGGACATTCCAAGTACATTCATTTTAACACAGGAGTAGCCCTCTGTTTATTCACTGTAAACAGTTTCTAGTGACACGATCTCTGATCAGAAAATTAATAGCCAATGTTAGCATATTATTGCCCCTGCTCAACTGCATTTTGATAAGCATTTCTGAGTTATAAGACAGTTCACTCACTGCAAAACCTCAGTAACTGCCTCAAATAGCAAATGCTTAATTTTCAAATTTGAAAGTAATTTCCAACAGAATCTGTCTTTGTATTTTTGAAAATATGTTTTTTTTTTGAAAATCCACTACACAATGTGATTAACTGTAGCCTACCTGAGGGTTTGCTAGAATATGCACCTCTCCCACTTCATCAAGACATGGTCTTTTCATTCACTTTTGAGCTTAATAATAGCAATGTGGGGCATTCAGAGTTAAAAATGGCCTGCAAATACCACTAAATCCAGGACAATGAAGCATCTTCAAGACAGCTGAGGAAATGTTATTAAAAATCTTCAGCTAAGCCCTAGCTGGTTTAGCTCACAGGACAGAGTAGTAGCCTGTGAACCAAAGGGTCCTGGGTTCAATTCTGGTCAAGGGCACATATCTTGGTTTCACATCGATGTTTTTCTGTCTTTCTCTCTTCCACTTTCCCTAAAAATCAATGGAAAAATATCTTGGGTGAAGATAAAAAACAAAAAACAAAAAAACTTCAGTCAAGCAACTGAAAACATTCATGAAGCTACTTATTACCCACGGCGATAAGGAAGCAATGCCTGAGGACTTGGACACAATGAGAGCAGACCATTAGTATTAAGGAGCCAAAACTGATCTCGGGGAAGCAGAAGGGGAAACACTAATGGACTTAACTTCCAGAGCTGGCTACTCTGGAATCCTCCTAGCCACCAGCACTGATCAAATGGAGAGACAAACCATCAAGATTGTGAACAGGAAATGAAACTGAATTGCTTTTTCAAGTGTTGTTGCTCATCTACCTACATATCAGTCTTATTCACGTGGTCTACACACTAAGTTATCTAGATGTACTGAAACAGGAGAAGAAAGATTAAACCTGGAAGAAAGCAATGATTTTTAGCCAGAGGTGGGCACCAGAATCACTTGGGTATGCATTCTGTCTCAATGTAAGAAAAAAAATTACATATACCTAGATGCATCCCCAGAGATTCTGAAATATACACCTACCTGAAAAACACAACTATAATACTATCAAGGAAACAGCATATTGAAGTAGAAAGAGCATAAGACTTAAAGTTGAAAACATAATATGAATTTCCATTCTCACTATTGGTTAGCTAGGCAACTGCAAAATGTTGGTCAACCTTTTGAGCCTCTTTTTTTAACATAAGTATAATAAAGGCACTCAAATATTATGGAGATGAAATTTTAAAGAATTATATGGAAATTTTTGTTGTAAAACTATATAAAATATTAGAAAGTACTTTGCAGACTTCTCCAATAACCACATTTTGTTCTGTTTTTCTTTTCTATTCCCCCCCGCCCCCTGCATTCTGGTATTCTAGTTGTTTCAATTTTACATAAGGTCAGAAATAATGCCTTGGCCACCAGAAACTTCTACAGAATATCCTGACCTAGCCACTTCTAGAGACCAGTTACATAGACAGGCTGGGAGCAGCCCCAATCAAATGATACTGCCTAATTAATTTAAATGTTTTGGCTTCATTCTACATTTAAAGGTATTATAAATGTCCCCTTTGTTACATGCTTTTAGACATATTTAAGTCTTTTAAATTTTTTAATTTTACGACATAACTAATGCTACCTCCATTTTACTGATAAGCAAATTGAGGCTCAAAGAAGTTAAGTAACTTACCAGAAGTTACTACAACTAGTGAGTCCTGGACTCAGAATTCAAATTTAGACTAATTACTTGGCCTTTTTACTACTTCATGAATTTTGGTACAAAAAATAATTTCACTTTGAAATAACATAATTACTAACGCAAATGAATGTTTTAGGCAACTGTAAGTTTGAAATACTCAAGATGGAAATGGCTACCATATGTAAGGAAAATGGCTCAAGGCTAGTCATCTACTTCAACTTGGAAAGTTACTAAACTGTTATAAAAACTGGCACCAGAAATGAGCTCACATGTTGCTGCTAACTTCCTCCTACCGGACAGGAAAACAGCGCTGTCCTCAGAACTCTCCATGACCACAGAAACAGTCCCTCCTCTGTGCTGCCCACAATGGCAGCTGCAAGTCACGTATGGCCCAGAAGGAGCACTGAAATGTGACCAGTGCAACTGAGGAATTACAGTTTAAATTTTATTTAATTTTCATAAATATGAAACCTTAAAATATAGAAGACAAGGAGCATACAATTATAAACTAATT